GGATGGCTTGAGACCTGGCAGTGTTTCGCTCTGTTGTACGTATGGTCGCTATGAGTCAGAACCGACTTGACAGCACCTAACAGCAACAACACTGCTAGTTCAAGTCTAAGTTTTTCAACACAATATGATAATAACGTGACTAAGAGACTAAAGAGGGCCAAAAGAAATGGTTTCATGTTGACCTGAAAAACTCAGCTGACTAGATTTTTTGCTTTAGGAAATATTTCCAAAATACAGAACACAGAGTAACATGATAAATACTTATTAATTCCTACTCTCAAATCCATCAAAGCATTTCCTTGTGCTATATACAAAATACTAAACAATGTTGAGTTAGAAAAAAAATACTAAACAATGTTGAGTTAAAAAAAAAAACAAAAACTTGTAAAAGGTTGACACCATTTATGCCAGGTTTCAAATAAGTGAAAGCATGTTAGATACTTTAAATAGATACCTACATACACAGTAATGGGAAAAAAATCCACAAATGGGAACGAAACACCAAGTGTTGGCTAGTAGTTAACAGTTATACTGGAGTGCTGAAGCCAGATTATATAGTTTGCCTGAGCCAGCTCTGCACCTCTCTCCCTAATTCCGTGTTCAGTGAGGTCATGTTAGTAGTTTGAGATCTGCTGTGATGGGAGTGTTTACACCACAGTAATTGGCAAACACTGTAAATCCTGGATTCCTCCTCTCCTGGCTCCACCCAGAGAGCCAGTGTGCCAGCACATCACTGTGCCATTCTGCACAGAGTGGAAGAGGATCGGGGAGGGGTATACAGGGGCTTCAACTTTATTTGTTAACATCTTTCTGCTTCAAAAAAAATTGAAAGCAAATATAGCACAAAGAAAGGCTTTGATAGAGCTGGCGGGAGGAATTCATGGGTATGTATCATGTTACTCCATGTCCTGTATTTTGGAAATAGTTCCTAAAAAAAAACACTAGTTAGCTGAATCTTTCAGGCCAGCGTAAAACGATTTCTTTTTGCCCCCTTTAGAGATTTAAGTCTTGCATTTGTGGCCACATTACTATTATATTATGTTGAAAACTTAGACTTGAACTAGCAACAGAAACTTTAAAATCCATTATTTCAAGCCCTAACTGTAGATCTGAGATAGTGGTATCTTTGAAATCAATTGATGTAAGGTATATAATAAAAGATTCTTAAGAAGCATTAATATAAAAAGTCACATGAATATACTTACTTAAGCAAATATAATAATAATAAAGGACAATGAGCAGGTGTTTCCTCTTTGGGAGCAAACGAGTGGATCTGAGAAACATCTGGCCTCTAAATTAGACTTCAGATTTAAGAGAAAGGAAATAAGAACAAATGGGGACAAACCAGTACAGATAATTCAGCTGCAAAGATTAAATGAAGATATTTTTGAAATCCGTGACTGGTATTAAGATTTGACAAAACCAGGTATCCAAAATAAGCAACACTGGATTTCTAGCTCTATGTCCTTGAGCAAAGAAAGGACTCTGCACATGGTATGACTGAGTTCTCATCTAGAAAACGTGTACAGTGACGTGCATTTTCTCTACCTCACAGAGCTGTTAAGGGGATTGTCATGGATTGAATTGTGTCCTCCAAAAATATCTGTCAACTTGGCTACGTCTTGATTTCCAGTATTGTATGATTGTCTACCATTTTGTAATCTGATGTGATTTCCCTATGTGTTCTGTATTCTATCACTATGATGTAATAAAATGGATTAGCGGCAGTTATATTGATGAGATATACAAGATTAGATAGTGTCGTAAGCCAATTTCCTTTGAGATATAAAAGTGAGAAGCAAGCAGAGAGATGGGGGACCTCATACCACCAAGAAAGCAGTGCTGGGAGAAGAGCGTGTGCTTTGGACCTGAGGTTCCTACACTGAGATGCACCTAAACAAGGGAAGACTGATATATCACAAGGATCGTCCTCCAGAGCTAACAGAGACAGAAAGCCTTCTCCTGGAGCTGATGCCTTTAATTTGGACTTGTAGCCTACTAGACTGTGAGAGAATACATTTCTCTTTGTTAAAAGCCATCCGCTTGTGGTATTTCAGCTTTAGCAGCACTAGATGACCAAGACAAGGATTAAACAAGATAATGTGTGTGAAGGGGATATACAAATATGATCTACACAAGGGACAGGCATGATCATGGTCATATGGGCATATAATTGTGTCACCATACTGATGCCTCACATATCAGCATCAGGGTGCTGATTGAGTCTGACTCAGGTTCATTTTAGACATGTCTGATTTCCTGGTTCAGCCAACACCAAAGGGACTCAGAGAATCAATTCAGGAGTGTAGAGGTCTTCTTGGTAATCTGACTTTTGAAGACTGTACTCTGCTACAACGGTCCCTACTTGTTGACGCAGGGCACTAAGTCCTTATCTTCCTTTAACTTAGGAGACACATAGAGATGTAAACCTCAGGGAGTAAAAACACCTCCTGGAGTATGCCAAAACTTCATAAACCTTGGCTTGAAAGAAAGGGTTCCACTCTGGCAGGAAGACGTGTGGTTAAATGTCTGGGCTTTGGAGTCATAGAGATGGAGATCATGCAGAGAAGCTCTATGGCATCTGGTACGAAGTAAGCACTTGACAGATACCAGCTGTCATCAACTTACAGATATACCACCAGAAGGCCCAGGCTGGGGGGCTCCCAGCATCTAGCCATCTTCCCAGGTTAAGGTGTCACTGGTGGGCTCTGGAAGGAGAATGCATGCAGGTGCTCATGGGATTTCACCATCAGTGACTGCCAGATGGGGGCCTGCCTACCACCAACACATCATTAATGAACATGTGGACTTTGGATTCCCTAAATTCAGGTTGTTATGCTCTTTCTTTACTTTCTTATGAGTGTGTTTATTTCACCTAGATAGTATTTCTCAACTGTGGCTGCATATTACAGATACCTGGGGACCTTTTGAAAAGTGAGATGCCCTGGCCCCACCCCAGACCAGTTAATCAGAACTTCTGGGTATAGGGTCCAGCCATCATGTTTTTAATAAAAGCTGCCCAGGTGATTCCAGTGTGTAGCATGTTGAGAACCACTGTCTCAAAACATACACAGTGGTTTTCAAAGTCTACTGGGTCAAATGAAAGAGAAATCCTACAGTGATGGTGGCATTTCCTACAGCCTAGGCTCTTAGAATTAAAGGATTGGTTCATTCAATTCAACAAATATGTCTCCCAGAGGACAGGCTTGTGCTAGGTGTTAGAGATTCAAAGGTGGCAAAGGAAACATGGACACTGCCCCCAAAGAGCTCACAGATATTGATTTCAATGAACAAGGAGGGATATGACTTAGCTTGCATTATAGTTGAGTCACAAAATGACAAGGCATTATAGAATTTTATAATGGAATGGTTAACGTGCTCAGCTGCTAACCAAAAGGTTGGATGTTCGAGTCCACCCAGAGGTGCTGTGACAGAAAGTCCTGGTGATTTACTTCCAAAAGAAATCAGCCATTGAAAACCCTGTGGAGCACAGCTCTACCCTGGGGTCGACTTGAAAGCAACTGGACTGGACTGGACTTACTATAACAAAATCAATGTCATCATTGGTTAATGTTTTGGTGCTTACATTGGTCTGGTACTCAGCTAGGCTCACTGAAGGCATACTTAGTGGTATATTAGCTCACTGAAGCTTCACAGTAACCATATGTGCTAGATATTTCTATTACTTCTATCCATTCATTTGACAAAACTGGTAATGACTCCTGTCTTGGGCTGGGTTCTCTAGAGAAGCAAAATCAGTGAAGTGTATACATATATATATAGAGAGAGATTTATCTCAAGGAAATGGCTCACACAGTTGTAGAAGCTGGCAAGTTCCAAGTCTCAGGGTCAAAGGCGTCAGGCTGGAGGCTTCTCCTGACTCACACAGCTGCAGGAGCTGATGAACACAAGATCGGCAGGTCAGACGGCAGGCCGCTGGCTCAAGTCTCAAGAACCAGAGGTCAGATGATGATGAGCCAGATGCAGGATCCAGAGCAAGTGAGTGAGCTTTTCCAGAACATCCACATATATATTGGATGCAGGCCACACCCTCAAGGAAACTCCTCTTACAACCGATTGGCTGATCACATCAGATCACATCATGGAGGATGACTACATCATTACATAACTGCCAAATTATATCATTACATAACTGCCAAATTACATCATTCCATAACTGCCAAACCACTGAGAATCATGGCCCAGCCAAGCTGACGCACAACCTTAACCATAACAACTCCTGTGATGGGCCCGACACTGTTTTAGGCACCATTGCAGTAACAGAACCGACACAGATCCCTGACTTTGTGGAGTGTTCTGGGTGGTAGTGGGAGGAAAGAAACAACAAACATAATGTAAAAGTAACTCATACAGTGTGTTAGGAATTGGTAAGTGCTATGAAAACAAAAAAGTAGAGAAGTTAGGAGGGTCAGAAGTGCAGGGGTGCATGCACACATGTGTACATTTGTATGTATGTGTGTACATTGTATGTTTGTGCATGCCTGTGTGCACGTGTGTGCCTGCATGTGTGTGTGTGTGCGTGCATGTGTGTATTGTGCATGTGCACATGCAGGCTGCTGCATTAAATAGGGCGCTCAGGTAAGCCTCACTGAGAAAGTAAGAACTAGCAAAGACGTGAAGTGCGGGAGTTAGTCACTTCCCTCAGTTTAAAGACTCACTCAACGTCACATACACGGCTCCACTGCGATACAAGCCCACTGTGTTGCACACCACAGTCTGTACTCTTAACCTGCCTCCTATTTCGTCTTCCAAAAAGATCACAATGTATTGTACTGATTTTCTTGCCTGCATCCCTTTCAGCTCTCTGAAGCCCAGAGCTTGTCCTGTTTACTACTGTAATTTTCTTCACAGATGACAGCCCATAAAATTTGATGAAGTGGAGTCAGAGATTACAGGTGATCAGTTATCTTAGGCTGCATTAATGTCAGAGAAATTCATAACGTTCCTACATGAGAACCACCCCTTGAGTGTTAACTTACCTGTTGAAGTGGTAGATATCCTGGATGTTTCCAAAAAGGGCTGATCTTTCTTCGGTGCCCAGAGGCAGTTTAGTTTGGTCCCTGATACAGTCAAGGTAATCCTGTGAAATCAATGAGAAGGAGGTCTTAAATACTCCTGTCCTTTTCCAAGTTGTCATTAATTATTCAAGATGACTCTTTCATATCAGTTTCAAGTAATTATTATAGTAATGTACTCATTAACTATACTCTGAGAAAACAGGGCGACTTTTTAATTAATGATTACAATACTTAGCACTTACAGAACAGGGAGTTTTCACAAGGAAAAAGAGTGAAGTATCTACTACTGTATCTATCCCCAAAACGGATTAGAACATTCCTAGGTAGATAATACAATGACCACAGTTACCGAGAAGGTGAGCATTTTGGCATAACATTGTATGTTTCCTTGCCTGATTTCTATGACAAAAATATACTCCAAAATTCATATAGTGGGAAAAAAGGAATAAATATTTTGAAATGTGACAAAGTTGTTTTAAATATAACCTTTACGCCAGAAAGCTACCAGTTGCTAAACTACAGAACTAAATTCTTCCTCAAATACCAATTTATTTAAAATTTTTTCTCCTTTTTTTAATAAACATAATTCATTTATGCTAACAGGTTATATTAATAAGCCATGGGAAATTTTAATTGAAATGATTTTATATGTTTTGTTTACACAGAACCCACAGATCTGATGTGGGTTCAGATCCACAGCGGGTTAAATTTATGTGGCTTAAAGGCTATCTGAACTGCTGAGAAGGGAAAACTGCTTTCCCGCCCCTGTGTGCTAAAGAGCTCATAACTGAGTGTTCCCCTTCCCTCTAGCAATGCTTGAAAAAAGAACTCTGTAGGAGGCAAGAAAACGATAAAGAAAAAAGCAAAAACAGCTGAAATAACGTAAAATGAAAAATAAATACAATCCCCTGCCCTGGCTGAACAATGCAGGATGGCTCCTGACCAAGGGTAACACGGCATTCTGGCACTTAGAGGAAGTCACCCTGAGAAAAGTCAGCCAGACCAGGAAAATCCCAGCGCTGTAACCACATTCCAATGTCCAAAAGCAAACACCACAGCATGCAGAGGAGAAGAATACTGAATATACCGTGGACTGTCAGAAGAACGAACAAATCAGTCTTAGAAGAAATATAGCTAGGATGCTCCTTAAAAGTGAGGATGGCAAGACATTGGCTAGCTTACTCTGGACATGCTTTCAGGAAAGATCAATTGCTAGGTGGATTAGCAGATGGTCAGCAAAACCCAGGGAAACCCTCAATAAGACGGACTGACACAATAGCCACAACAATGGACTCAAATATCCCAACAATCATGAAGATGGCACAGGACCACCATGTTTCATTGTGTTATACATGAGGTTGCCATGAGCTGGAGATGACTCGATGGCAACTAACAGCAAAAAAGCACAAGGAGAAACTTAAACTTAAGAACCATCAGACAATAGTTTCTTAGACCTTTTAATAATTCACATCTTTTCTCTCAGGCTCTTTATGTTCCTCAGTAAAAAAAGGTAGAGCTTCGTCAATAACTTTATTGAGTAGCACATTTCACAGTTTGCATCAAATAACTTATCATTCTAGTCTTTAATACAATCATTGTCATGCATGAACCAATGTTCATAATTTTTTTTACAAGCTTTGTGGTAATATCTTCTTAAGAAAGTGACTGTCTCAGTAAGAAACTAGATTCACAGGGTTAAGTGTAGTTGATACTGAAAAACGACAATAGCAAGACCTATTCTCCTTACCTTTATGAATGGAACAATTATAAGGAGCTTAAGTACCTGCATAGGATATAGAGTTAATGCCCAAATACTAAAAGCTAACTTTAATGAAGGCTAGAATTGAAGTATAAGTACATTTTGAACAACATGTAAAACTATGCTTCCTCAAAAAAATAAACGTATTCACTGACACTCTCCTTAAATTATACATGGATACAAAAGGATGGACCAATATTCAACTTGTGTCTGTATGCTTATATCTGATACAGTTGAATACTTTCTGGAGTCCCTAGGTGGTGTAAATGGTTAACACGCTTGGCCACTAACTGAAAGATTGGAAGTTTGTCTTAGTTATCTAGTGCTGCTGTAACAGAAATACCACAAGTGGATGGCTTTAACAAAGAGAAATTTATTCTCTCACAGTCTAGTAGGCTAGAAGTCCAAATTCAGGGCTCCAGCTCCTGGGGGAAGGTCCTTGTCATCAATGTTCCCTTGGTCTAGGGGCTTCTCCCCGTGGAAGCCCCGGGTCCAAAGAACTCGCTCTGCTCCTGGCCCTGCTCTCTTGGTGCTATGAGGTCCCCATGTCTCTCTGCTTGCATCTCTCTTTTATATCTCAAAAGAGATGGGTTTAAGACACAACCTAATCTTGTAGATTGAGTCCTGCCTCATTAACATAACTGCCAATAATCCCATCTCATTAACATCATAGAGGTAGGATTTACAACACACAGGAAAATCACATCAGGTGACAAAATGGTAGACAATCACATAATAGTGAGAATCATGGACTAGCGGACTTAACATATATTTTTTGGGGACACAATTCAACTCATAACAAAGTTCGAGTTCATCCAGATGTGCCTTGAAAGAAAGGCCTGGCAATCTACTTCCAAAAAATCAGCCATTGAAAACCCTATGAGGCACAGTTCTACTCTGATGCACATGGGGTTGCCAAGAGTTGGAACTGACTGGATGGCAACTTTTTTTTTTTTTTTTAATACTTCTCAATCACCTCATATGCACGCAAAAGTTGGATAATAAAAAAAGGAAGACAGAAGAAGAACTGGTGGCGTTGGCAAAGAACAATGAACATACTATGGACTGCCATAAGAACAAACACATCAGTCTTACTTAGAAGAAATACAATCAGAATGCTCCTTAGAAGTGAGGATGGCAAGACTTCAACTTGCTTACTTTGGATATGTCATCAGGAAAGAGCAATCACTAGAAGGACATCACGGTTGGTAAAGCAGAGGGGCAGTGAAAACAAAGGAAATCCTCCACGAGATGGACTGACACAGCAGCCACAACAATGAACTCAAACACACCAATGATCATGAAGGTAGCACAAGACTGGGCAACATTTCGTTCTGTTAGACGTGGGGTCGCCACGTGTTAAGACGATTTGATGGCAACTAACAACAACAGTACTTTCGTCAACGTTTTAAAAGGACATATCGTATACAAACCTAAGAAGGTAAAGCGGAAGAATACAGTTGGGTGAGAAATTTAAAATGTAAAATGGAAGACTACAGATGGGCATGATCCACACCAAGGCAGAGGATGAGCGGTGGGACAGAGATGATGTGTGTACACCAAACTCACACAGCTGGCATCAGAGACGGCAGCCGGGCTTAGCAAGAGAATGAACAATGCTTCTCACTTCAAGTGTGAACCTTGCTCATTTGCAGAAACCCGACACTAAATTCTTCATGCGAGGGAAAGACTCAGTTAAGGGGTTCGGACAATTTCTTCTGGAGCTAGAGACAATGAACCATGACCTACTTCCAGCAAATGATGGCCCTTCTCCAGCTGAAAGGGTTTCAAAACCCCAGAGTCCATGGTAGAGAAATGAGATTTTAAAAGCTGCTTATTTTCTGAAATTGTTGAGAAAATAGAATGTTTGGCATCTGAGTTTTTGAAAGCCACTCTAGAAAACAGATCAAAGTCGTAGGCCACAACTTGTTTCCCGCACTGATCATAATGAAGTCTTTTAAGCATGGTACTTTAACCCTACACCAGTTTCTGCAAACTACTGTAGCATGCTCTGCATTAGCACCTGCGGTCATCCAAAGCTAAAATGAGAGGTTGGGAGCTCAGTGATAATAACAGTCCACTCTGTGCTCAAATGACAGAGTAAAGACTCCAGTGAAATTTATTAGAGCCTGCCACGCTGCTTATTAATTTTATTGGCTTGATGTCAACACCTATGGCTACCCTACTGTTAACAGTCAGGGATCAATTTAAAACTCTAACATGGAAAACAAATATTCTCCAAAAGGATCAAAGAATTCAATCTACTTTGGGGAGTGAGAGGACGGGGCCGACACCTACAAAAAAGAGCTTTTCACCACTCAAAACGATTTTCTCTTTTCCAATTTTAAAGTTCCTCTAAGCTATTTATTTTCTAATCAGTTTATGTCCTTAAGCCCCCATTAATTATAAGATTTGTATACCAGTGCCCTCCTCTCGGAGCTCTTGTGGCGCAGTGGTTAAGAGCCCAGCTGCTAAGGAAAAGGTTGGCAGTTCAAATCCACCATCCACTCCTTGGAAACCCTATGGGGCAGTTCTACTCTGCCCTCTAGGGTCGCTATGAGTCAGAATCAACTCGACAGCAACAGGTTTGGCTTTTGGTTGGCCCTCCTCTCATTAACTTTCATCATTCCTAGTAACATCTGTTATTGGAAATATCTAAGTAGAGTCTAAATGGATGCTATTCAACGTGTGATTTGTAGACAGGTGCCTGTTTGCAAACTGTTACAGATCTACGACGAGGTAAGTTTAGAAATTGAGAGTAAGCATGTAGAAATGCTTACTGAATTTAAACAGAATAATGTAATATTTGTAAAATCTAATAATAAAGTTGGGGCTTGTATTTCACATTTCTGATGTTTTTTTCTATTTTTTGAGTAATTCATTTTTTTATTGTATTTTACAGAAGTATCAGTGTGTGATAGACTGTGAAAACAAACAAACAAAAACCAACCAACCCACCCCTGCGCCTCAGTGTGGACAGTTTGAGAATCCCTGATCTAGACAACCACGGAGCAGGGAGGCTGTCGAGAGGGGGCTGCCAGCACTGGGGCAGAAGGTAACCTCATGCCCTTGGTAACTTATCTTACTCCACAAGATGCTCTGAAAGAATTTAGTTAATGGGCTCCCATCTCCCTTCTTTCTCTGAAGTCACATTTCAAATGTTTTAGAACTATAACTTGTTTAACACGATAATGAAGGTAAACCATAAAAAGAAAGAAAAGGTAATCATCTAGAATTATAATGTCTATCAATACTTTAGGGGTCCCTGGGTGGTGCGAACGCTTAAGTCCTCAGATGCTAACA